ACCTCTCTAACAATCAGCTGCTGGATCCTCACTGTGGGGGTAAATACCACTTTCTCTCTTCTTGTGACTGACAATGAACAGTGGAAACATCACAAAGAAATTTGACCAGGGGGTGCTGAATAACAAGATCACACAATCACCATTTGCCCTACTTTTAACCTTCCTTCCTGTGGGCCATTAGGGATTCATGACCTGGACCAGCATCTCCATAGTTTTCCACGTCTTAAGATACAAGCAGTGGGTCCAGCACATTCACAGGAACATCTCCAGAATTTCCCCAGAGGTGAGGGCTACCCAAGGCATCCTTGTCTTGATAAGCACCTTTGTATTGTTTTAAGCTCTCTCTTCCACCTTTTCATTTCATTTGGCTCTTTCTGAAAATCCCAGTTGGTGGGTGCAGAACCCCTCTACCCTAATTACTCCATGGTTTTTTTTTTTTAACAATCAGCCCTTCTGTTCTCTGGAGCCCTGACCTTATTGTGTCCAGGGTCCTCTCTGAATGCTACAGAAGGCATACACAACTCTCTAAAATGACAAGATACCTATAAACTATTGTAAACTGTTAAAGAATGTGTAGTCATGTGTTCATTCACTCCTTGCAGAGATTTAAGCACTGGAGGGGGCAGTCACTCAATAGAGAGGGTGTGAAAAACAAATCCAGCCAGCACCACCTTCAGGATTTCCACAGGAAAACAGAAGAGGAGCTATTAACTTGCATATTTCCTATTGAAGATTATTAACAGTATATATGATGCTGCTGAAAATATGAAAATCTAGTTTTACAATTTGCTTGTATTATTGACATAAAGAACAGACATGTCTCTGGAAATATTTCAAAACCACTATTTCATCAGTACTAGGAAAAGTTAAGTATCTCTGAAAGAGTACACCTTTTCCAAGCCTCCTCATCTGCACTTGTTACCAAGCATTCACAAACAGAAAACAAAAAGATCTAATTTTCCGGGTACCTGGATGACTCAGTGGCTGACCCTCAGACTCTTGCTTTTGGCTGAGGTCAGGATCTCAGGGTTTGTGAGATCCAGCCCAGAGTTGGAGGGGGGGGCCGGGGGAGGGGACAGAGGGCTCTGCTCAGAGCCGGCTTCGGATTGCAGATCTAGCTCACTGCCCCTCCCCGCTTGTTCTCCCTCCCGTGCTCTCTCTCAAAATAAATACATTTTTAAAAATCTAATTTTCAAGGGAAAAAAATCCTTCCAAAATAACCGAGAACAAAGATTTAAAAAAATTAAAAGTGCAATGAAATTTGGCAATTAAGGGCTTAAGCAAATACAGGTGCCATGTGGTAGGTTTCAAAGACGTTTGGATTTGTAATTCATCTCGAGAGGTGTGGATTCGAATATCAAATCTAAAGAAAAAGACATTAATGAACACTTATAGAGGCAAAAATGTTCCTTTAAAGCAACTTGCCAGCTTTTCGCTCCCACAGCCCAGGGCGGAAAGCAGTCCGGCGAGTAGAGAGAAGTGACAATTCAGTGAAAAGCTCTGATGGGGAGTTAATACCAAACTGCACATTCTCCACAAAACGGTTTTGCATTTCGCAATGTAGCGTCCATCACCGACACTGACCACCCCGACTTTTGCTGCATTAAACAAAGAGCTGTAACTGTCCCGTCTCAGTCGACCCACTAGGACCCCCAGCCCCAAGTCCCCGCGCTGCTCCGCCTCCCCAGCTGGAGGCGCGTCTACACTGCTTGCTACAAATGTTTCCCCCGGCATCGTGTTGAATTTGTCAAATACCGCCGCTCCCAACAGAAGCGGCCCACCCTTCCCTAACCTTGTGCCCAGCCTGGCTCCAAACGACACCAGCGGGATTGGGAGGAATCCAAAAGCAGAACCTGAAACCGCGGGGCAGAAAAGACAAACAGGACTGGCAGACACCAGGAAGCAGACCCTGAGCCGGGGAGGACACTGTACGCCCAGGCCCCGCCTAAACCCGCCGTGTCATCAACGCGCCTCGGCCCCGCCCAGCGACTCGCGCTTGCGCACTTTCCTGCAGACCCGGAACTGGATCGCCCGGAGCAACCAGCGCGCTCGGGTGAGTGAGTCTCCATTTTCCTGGTTTACACCAGGGGCCGTGCTCCTAAAGCCCCGCCTCCACATCCAGGTTTCGGGGTCGCCTGGAAGGTAAAATCCTTGCACTCACTCGTCCCTTTCACCTCTCGCGGCGTGGCTATAAGACGTTCCGATCCCAGTCGCTCGGGGCGGGTCCCGGGCCTCTGCATCGTTTCCGTTTAAAATCGCTCTGAGGCAGGTACGGGCCCAGCCTTTCTGTCTCTGGCCCTTGCAGACCCCGATCGCCCTGACAGTCGCTTTCCTGCTCAGAACCTTTCTCTGACTCCCGAGTCTCCCCACTGCCGTCCACCCCCAACCGCGTCGTGCACAGTCGTCACTAGGGAGGTGGATGCAGGCCCTTCGCCCCGCCGCAGGGAGGTCAGAGTGGGGACAGAGATGGCAGGGAAAGACGCAGAAATCTGCAGAGTTAGAAGGCCGTCATAAAGTGTGGGGAGAAAGAACGGCGGGGATTGAAACAGAGGCCGTAATAGAGTGGGGTCAGACTGTTGGAGGAGGAATAGTGAGGCAGGGACACAGAAATGGACAAAGGGACAGAAGAGAAACAAGGACACAGAGACTTATACAGAGAAGAAAACACGTAGTGGTCTCAGACAAAGCACAGGACCCAAATCCAGGTGAGTACTGAATTGACTGGATATGGGGATATTAAGTTGTGAAGTACTGATTTGTGGCTTTATGACTTCATTAATCTAAAATTTGGTGAATTGTTCGTTATACAGAAGAGATTGAGAGTTGTGAACCCTGATGTTTGAGGCATCTGCTGTTTCTAAGCATTGCATCAGAAGATCAATTCCATTTGCAACCCCTACTCATCTAGAGGGCAGAGGACTAGCTCAGTGAGTTAACCAGGGAAGACTTTCTATAACCACATGGTGCTTTTTACAATGGCCATCATTAACAGTACTGTTTGTCTCTCTCCCTTTTTCCTGTGGCTCATGGTATTCTTTGGTGTATCCTCATACTTGTTTTGGCTTTAATCTCAGAATCCATTGGATATCTTTTTAATTTCCAAATTATTTTCCCTCTGAATTTTATTGTTCAGATTATGAATTTTATATACTTTCTACTCTATCATATGTTGGAACCATTCTTTGATTTCTGGTAAATAACTTTATAATATTTCCTTACACATCCGTTAAGGGTGTTGATAATCTTTAACACTCAAAACGTGTTCAGGCAGTTAATTTAATATTCAACAGTTCTCTTTTTCCCTTAAGTGATCTTTTACATTACTGAGTTCCAAGCTGAAGTCTCCAACTAATTAGACGATCCTCTCAAGTCCCCTTTGTCTTTTCTGTACACATGTTGAAAGGTGGTCTGGATTGATGTGGAACTTTGTTCCAGCAGAGCCCATCTGTTCATAATACAGATTGCTCAGAGCTCATCCCCACAGGTCACCCTTTTTCATGTTTTCCAGGACTTGTAACTATTTGTAATTTCATACAGCTTTTCTGGAAAAGAGGAATTAAATGTTTGGGTTTGATCAAACCCATGAAAGACAAGCCTCTCTTGTTCGGGAATATGAAAGGTAATCTGGAATTAGGACCAACACTTTTTTTTTTTTTTTTTTTTTTTTTTTTTTTTTTTTTTTTTTTAATTTACATCCCAGTTAGCATGTAGTGCAATAATGATTTCAGGAGCAGCAAAATCCAGTGATTCATCCCCCACATATAAAACCCAGTGAACATCCCAAGAAGTGTCCTTCTTAACGCCCCTTACCCATTTAGCTCATCCTCCCACCCAGCACCCTTCCAGCAACCCTCAGTTTGTTCTCTGTATTTAAGTCTTTATGTTTTGTCTCCCTCCCTGTTTGTACATTATTTTTGCTTCCCTTCCCTTATGTTCATATGTTTTGTGTCATAAATTCCACATATGGGTGAAGTCGTATGTTGTATGTGTTACTCTGACTGCTAATTTCACTTAGCATGATACACTCTAGTCTGTCCATATTGTTGCAAATGGCAGGATTGTATTCTTTTTGATTGCCAAGTTAATACTCCACTTATATATATACATATAATACTTGTATATACATATATATATACTTATATACATATATACTTGTGTGTGTGTGTGTGTATATGTATGTATGTATGTATATATACACATATATATGTATATACCACATCTTCTTTATCCATTATTCAGTCGATGGACATTTGGGCTGTTTTCATTCTTTGGCTATTGTCAATAGTGCTGCTTTAAACATTGGGGTGCGTGTCCCCCTTCGAAGCAGCACATCTGTATCCCTTGGATAAATACGTAGCACTGCAAGTGCTGGGTCATTGGGTAGTTCTATTTTTAATTTTTTAAGGAACCTCCATACTTTTTCCAGAGTGGCTGCACCCATTTGCATTCCCACCAGCAGTGCAAAAGAGATCCTCTTTCTCTGCATCCTCGCCAACATCTGTCGTTGCCTGAGTTGTTACTGTTAGCCATTCTGATAGGTGTGAGGTGGTATCTCATTGTGGTTTTGATTTGTATTTCCCTGATGGTGAGTGAAGTTGAGCATTTTTTCATGTGTCGGTTGGCCATTTGGATGTCTTCTTTGGAAAAGTGTCTATTCATGTCTTCATTTCTTCACTGGATTGTTTTTTGGGTGCTGAGTTTGAGAAGTTCTCTATAGATTTTGGATACTAATCCTTTATCTGATATGCCATTTGCAAATATCTTCCCTCATTCCGCTGTTTGCCTTTTAGTTTTGCTGATTGTTTCCTTCGCTGTGCAGAAGCTTTTTATTTTGATGAGGTCCCAATAGTTCATTTTTGTTTTTGTTTTTCTTGCCTCTGGAGACATGTTGAGTAAGAAATTGCTGCGGCCAGGTCAAAGAGGTTTTGGCCTGCTTTCTCCTCGAGGATGTTGATGGCTTCCTGTCTTACATTTAGGTCTTTCATCCATTTTGAATTTATTTTTGTGTATGGTGTAAGAAAGTGGTCCAGATTTCTTCTGCATGTCACTGTCCAGTTTTCCCAGCTCCACTTGCTGAAGAGACTGTCTTTATTCCATTGGATATTCTTTCCTGCTTTGTCAAAGATTAGTTGGCCATATGTTTGTGGGTCCATTTCTGGGTTCTCTAGTTTGTTCCATTGATCTGTGGGTCTGTTTTTGTGCTAGTTCCATACTGTCTTGCTGATTACAGCTTTGTAACACAGCTTGAAGTCCGGAATTGTGATATTTGCAGCTTTGGTTATCTTTTTCAGGATTGCTTTATTTGGGGTCTTTTGTGGTTTCATACAAATTGTAGGATTGTTTTTTCTAGCTCTGTGAAGAATGCTGGTATTATTTTGATAGGGATTGCATTGAATATGTAGATTGCCTTGGGTAGTATTGACATTTTAACAATATTTGTTCTTCCCATCCATGAGTGTGGAATATTTTTCCTTTTTTTTTTTTTTTTTTTTTTTTTTTTTTTTGGTGTCTTCAATTTCTTTCGTAAGCTTTCTATATAGTTTTCAGGGTATTGATTTTCCACCTCTTGGGTTAGGTTTATTCCTAGGTATTTTATGGGTTTTGGTGCAGTTGTAAATGGGATCGATTCCTTGATTTCTCTTTCTGCTGCTTCATGATTGGTGTATAGAAATTCAATTAGGGGCACCTGGGTGGCTCAGTCCGTTAAGTGTCTGACTTCAGTTCAGGTCATGATCTCTCTGTTTTTGAGTTTGAGCCCTGCGTCAGGCTCTGTGCTGACAGCTCAGAGCTTGGAGCCTACTTCGGATTCTATGTCTCCCTCTCTCTCTGCCCCTCCCTTCCTCATGCTCTGCCTCTCTCTCTGTCTCTAAAATAAACATTAAAAAAAAAAAAGAAATGCAATTGATTTCTGTGCATTAATTTTATATCCTGAGACTTTGCTGAATTCATGGATCAGTTCTAGCAGTTTTTTGGTGGAATCTTTGGGATTTCCATATAAAGTACAAGTCATCTGCAAAGAGTGAAAGTTTGACTTCCTCCTTGCTGATTAGGATGCCAGGACAAGCCCTTTCTGCTTAAAGCTATCCAGGCCATCATTTCAGAATTTACTTACACCCAGTTCTGCTCACTCAACTCAAACTTCTTAGGGGTAACTTGGTAAAATTACTCCCCTTCTGAGCCCCAGTGTACCTACCTGTAACATGGAGATGACAGACCAAAAATTCTGAACCTGAGCTAATAAGATCCCTGAAATGATTTTCAAAAGTTGGGTGTGTTTTTGTGTTGGCAGTTTTCTGGATGAGGGTATGCAGTTATCATTAGAGTTTACAATGTGACCCATTTCCAAAAATAATAAAAACCACTTATAAAGAGGCAGAATAGTCTTAGAGAGAGAGACATGCCTCTGTCAGCTCCACCCTCTCTGTGTGTCTTAGCTATATCTTAAAAATTTGTGTCATCTTTTGACATTAAACCTTCTCATGGCTTCCCATCACCATGAGGACAAAGATCTAAACTCAGAGTGTAGTAACCAGGGAGCTTTGGAGCTCAGGTGGCAACTTGTTCCAAATTGATGGCATGGACAGGCTTCTGTGTCTTCCATCAACCATTCATTGGATGCTGGCTTCCTAGGGAGGAGCCAAGAACTTGAATGAGGGAGTTCCCTTAGGCTGAGTGCCAGGTAGACAAGACAATGCAGTTTCAGTAGAGTGTGTACGTTTCAGCAGGAGGGGAGGGCTTTCTGAAGAAATGCTTGACAAATGCACTTGTTGGACTCCATATAGGAGTTTATTCTCCCTGCATCCCTTCTGTTGCGGTGGGCAGCAAAGGTCTTTTTCCCATAGTAAGGTGCTCTCTGTATGCATACTCTATATGCATACTGTGGCAGAGGAAGAGGATATCTTGATTCTAAACATTAAACAACATACTTTTTGTCACACAGTATAACTTTACCTGAGAAGGAAGACCAGAAGAAGAGGGGGAAAAAAAAGGAGGAATGGCTCTTTTCCAGGTAAAAGTCCTATTTTTCGATGATTGTTCTTCCTAAAATATCAC